CATGTGTTCTTCAGTAATTAGTAAAGTATTGTTACCAGACAAAGACAGTGTACCATGAACTTACATATAGCACACCTAAAAATACCCTCTAGCAATTAAAGGTATTTTCTTTTTTCTTTGCATTCCTTTCATTTTGTATTTCACTTCCAGCAATTCCAAAACTTTGTAATTGAAGAAACAAGGCTTGAAGAGTCTACATAGACATCACAGTTTGATCTTTTCACATCAGATCTTAATAAATTAGATATTTGAGTAAGAAAGTAATGTTGACAAATATGTGACCTACTTCAAATTGCAGCTTCACTAATGTCACATAAAGGAACGTTCCTGCAGCAGAATAAATTTTGACTGTATCTAGGAATGCAACATAGCCAAGGAATTTTAGACCAGACCTCTAAACCAAGTTTCTAATACTTTCTAAGAGTCATAGTAATATGCTGAATAACTTGATTCTCTCAAAAAGAGAAAAATAAAACTGCAAGCTTATCTTTAAGTGTAGGGTTGCTTTTGCTTCAGAAAAATCAGGCTTGTGAGACAAAACAATTTGATCAGATATTTATTTTAACAAAAGATATGAAGACACTTCTAGAAGAAACCTAAGGTGTGACTCAAGTATTACTTTTTCATTGTAGAATAGAAAAAATTATAGCCCACACATTAAAGATTGACTTCTTGAACTGTACATTCTGGGTTGTCCTAAGGAACAATGTAGCCTTCTTAGATGAATGAAATAATGTTACTCAAATTCAGAAAACAAGACATGTAGAAAGAGTAAGAGCTAAATTAAGATCCTACAGTGGAGATAGACTTTGTAACTAAGAGACAAACTCAGGAAATACCTTTAGATACCATAACAAGATGAGAGAAAAACTGAATGTTCTTTTACACTGAATGGTATACAGAATTTATTGAAAATCTCAAGATTTTCATGGACTGAAAATAAAGACTGCAATGAGATTACCTACAGACAACTGCTGACATTTTTGCTGCATACATGCATCTGAGTAAGGAACTATTTTCTAATCTGAAACAGAGTAAAAATATCTGCAGAATTCTCTTTTTAAGTTCACAGCCCAGTTATACTCAGTACAGGAAGATATAATGAAGTTAATACGGGTTAGAGAAAGATCCATTCTTCTGACTGATCAAGCAGATATGAAAAATGAATTAATCTGGAGTGACAATTTCAGCTGCAAGTGTTGATTGTGCCAAGATGACGTTTCTGAGATGGCCATGATTTTGCCACCTTCAATCTTTAAGATTTACAGTTTCAAAAGAACTTCATGGATGTAGATAAAAAAGCATAAAGCTATACGAGAGAGGCATCTCCCTGAAAGCCCAGACTGCCCTCTTCTGGAGTGAATGATCTTGCACATCTAGTGGTCTGTTCACGGTCAAAGTTATATGAGGAACATCTCACAAACTAAACCATCACCTGATTATCAGGTCTTTAATTTTTCATCTGTGTTATCGTACAAAACACCTACTTAACATGTGTTCAGATGATCAAGAAAATGACTAGCATCTTGCCATGACAGAATTACATACAGTAGTGACTTCCTTGTACAATAGAGCAGACTCACTTTTAGTGTAGAAAGTTTAATGGTAGTAGCTGACATACTTTGGATCTACTGACCTCCAAGTTGAGGTGAAATGCAATGCATTAGAAGTGTGATCATTCACTCTGAATTTGAGAACACTTCTATGAAGTCAATGTTCTTGCTGCAAATAAAGCTGTGAAAATAGGCCACGCCAAAGCTGTATTCATGGTCTGCCCTATGTATACTGGAGTTAGAAGAGTTTCTATCAATTTGGTGCAGGTTTTCCACCAGTTAAACTTCAAAACAAATAACAGAATCTTTATCTTTACTTTCTAGTTGCAGGCAACCTGATATTATGATATCTTCTGCCGCCTATGCAGGCAACGTACACAGTTGTGTTTACACTACAAGACCATCTGATCCCAAAGCTAAAGCACATACTTACTATTATATGTGGACTGTTCTCCAGCTAATTAATCAGAAAATGTTGTCATATGCTGTCAGCCAGATAATATAGTGCTGTGGTAGAGTTCAGTAGTTTTCTACTTGATAGAAATACACTTCTTGAAAATCAGGATCCCTCTTTCAAATCAGGGGATGTAGGGAATTAACAAACACCGTGAGTAAAACTGCGATCCCCAAATATAAAAAGGAATTTTCCCTAATCCACCAGAAGTACAAGAGATCGATTCTTCTTTGGTAGCAGACTATTGAGGTAGAGGTAAAATGATGAAGATTTTAGAATTAGAATAATTTTTTTGTTGTATTCATCACCCACTGTCATCTGAATGATAACGAATCATTGCAAGTTTCCTGAAGAAAACAAAAATCACTGAAATTGAGTAGGGAAATACTAATGCCTTATTTAGATGGCAGTTCCTGATTTAGAAATCCTGTAAAAAGCATTTTGATTGTTTCAAAGGTGGCAACAGAAAACTACTAGCTGCAGTTACTATGAAAATGGGTTCTTTCTGTTTATTGTTTTTTGTTTTTTTTCTGGTCAGCCAGAAGACCCTTGACCCCAATAAGCATGATAAAATAATTTGTTGGGTTTTGCTGATGATGCTATTTTAAAAAAATGAGACACATAAATGCCCAAGAATTTAGTATAGGAGGAAATACTCAAATGGGCACAAATTCTCAATTATTACAGAACTAAACATTCTGTTAAGGTGCAGATCTTCCATGAATTCTCAGAACAAGTTGGCAATTTAGAGGATTGCAATCAAGACATATCATGAATTGTAATTGTTGTCAGTGTAGATCTGGAAAAGGAACAAGAAATCTTTCAGTGAAACAACAGCTAGCTAAAGCAGAAAAAAAGCTGTAGCAGAACACTGATTCTGCTACTCCTTACTGACCATTATTATTCAAGGTTCAGCTTTTAACAATCAAGAGACAAGCATCAGAGGCTTTTCCAAGGGAGACAACTTTGATCTGTTCTTTCTGGATTTTTTCTATTCTCTTTATGCATTAATACTCCTTGTCTCTTGCAGAATTATAGCACTTCATCTATCATTAAGGAGTCAAAAGGACCTTAATAATCAAATTAAAATGCTGGTTTTTGCATTCAGACTAAGATTGTGTCTAATCTGTGATACTATATATTATTTAATAAATTCTAGGATAGAAAACATCTGAGAATTTGGGGTATAGCACTTTTACTATAATTACTTCATTTACTGATGGTAAATGAATGATTTACTTATGGTAAACTGTACTCTTGAAAAACTTGTAGATGTCCAGAACTACAGAACAGTCATTTTGCCTTTGTTATTTTTTCTTAGCTTTCTAGGCAGAGGCAAGAGGAAATTCAGCTTCCACTCAATTCATAAATCAAATAATCCAAAAATTAGAAATGTACAGCTCTAATAAGCATGAGATTACAGTTCCAATTTCAGACCAAATGAAATGCAGTGATTAAAAGCTACTGAGTGCAGTCCAGTGTAAGTTTAACCAAAGATGATAAAAGTAAAGCAAATCCAGATATGATGAACTTAACCAGAACTGTGCAATAGCAGAAATCTGCAGAAGTTCATTATCTAACTCCAGTGAATGTTCTTTCTGTTTTCTTATTTTTGCTTTTAAACATCAAGAAGTATTTAGTATCATTCAACTACCCATAATAAAACTGTGATCACTGAAGAGAATTTACAGTAGAAAAAACACCACCACCACCACTCAAAACCTAAAGAATCAAATGACTCCACATCTAGGAATAGAAGATACCATTCAAATTAATTATTTCCAATTAGGCTTGAAAAGTTTTGCTATATCCATGAATATAAGCACATTCGTTTAGTTTCAAAGATAATGACACAGCCAGTCCAAGAAAAATAATATTAATAATTTCTGATCATTTTAACTCTTTCTTCATCATAACAGATAGGATTTCTCACTCTTAGCTTATTTCACAACAGTTCTTTAAGAGTATAGTTTTCCTTTGATCTAACTATGAAATTAATTATTTTTTGGATCATTTAAAAGCAACAGCCTTCCAAATTTTAAAATCCTAGCAACCAGAATTTTAGAGGATTGATCCCATTCAAAGACCAATGCTACAAAAGCCAACTGGTAAGTTTGTATGGAATTTCAACATTTGTATTATTTTTTATTTTATAGAAATCTAGTTCCATTAATATCTTAAATACAACATCCCTTTAAAAGAAATAACTCCATCTGCATACCACATAAATTAGCTATCACAGACATTTGTTTCAATACATCAGCTTTCCCAAACACTACACACTTCTGCTACAAGTTTAGCCTAAATAAAGCAACTCAAATACGAAATTTGAAGGGACAGAAGTAGCTAAATGCATGGTTTACTGACACTTTCTTGCGCCTGAAGTTTCGGTCTATGAAGAAGAAAATATTTAAATTCTTTTTAAAGCATTTTCATTATGTAAGCCTCTATATACAGCTAAAACCTTCATAGTTACAATCACACTATTACTGTATTCAATTCTTATCATCAGAACAAATATATTAAAGTTTTGCTTTAATGAAGCCCATTACTACTACGGAAACAGTGTTGGGTTACTTAGAAATGTTCCCTTCCTCATCTTTACTGATGATTATTTAATGATTTCTAATTCCATTTTTCCAACTTAAAATTCATATTAGAGTGCACTGACCACACAATGATGAAAGTAGATGTGTATATGAATCATCGTAATTTCAAAAACTACAATATCTAAATTCTTGGCATTTGTGTAAAACAAAGTTTGATTTATTCAAAATATAACATTCAGGAAAAAGTATATTTTAATAATATCAGTCATGAAATATGAGAACCCTTTGCTGAGCAGCAGAAAAAAATATCTGGAAAAATTTTGTGTATCTATCTATGATAAACGTATTTCACTACCAAAGACAACAGCAATTCCAGCTTAAACCCACAGACATACAGTTTTATAAAGCTTTGTTGATAGGCAAAGTAAGCTTTTTTTTCTATACCTGGAAGTTCTCTCTCTTCAACACTGTATTCCAGAGATCCAAAGGAATAATTAGCTGGACTGATTGCAGGAGTAGAAATAAAACTCGTACAGCCAATGGATGAGCTGATTTCAAAATAATTGTGGCTGTGATTCATTCGGTGAAATTCCAGAGAAGATACTATTGATGTGCGCTGCTTGGGCTACAAGAAAAATAGAAGTTTGGAGTGAAAAATACAGAATTTTATATAGTTTTCATTACTTGACATGTAATATATTTACCTAGGGTTTCTCTCTTTTTACTGTTTTTATTTGGCTCAAAGATTATACTAGTAAACATCATTTCATATGACAAGCTGTGGTGTGGAGAGATAATTTCCTTCCAAAATTTGGATTAATCCTTATTAGAAAAAAATGCATGTCTTCATTCTAATCAATTTAATTCAAAATAAAATTGGGTTTTACAGCCTTGCTTATAATAATTGCAATCATCTTTTGATAAGAAAGGGAGCTCTTCACCAGCTGCATTGCTGGGTACATCTTGCAAAACAATTAGACCGCTGATGCCTGTATAATGAAATTTACAAAATAATACCAAGCACTCATCACTCGATAGCAACCCTCTGCTGTTTATTCAATTTATGAAGGGCTGCCTTAAATATTCCAAGACTGAAATGTCTAAAAGCTTAGGGGGAAAGTGTCAGCTTAAAAAACATACATGAAAATCAAACCTTCTTCATGGGTTTTCACAGAATAGTGAAGAACTTGATACTAGTTTGTGTCGGACATTTACTTTTGAAGTGAACCTCTTCATTGACCCCACTTAATGGCTGTGCTTTGGATTGCAGAGCAGCTTCAGAGCACGAGAAACTCATTCCTTTTGGGTGGATTTACACCATAAGGTACATTACAGGATAGTACAAAATGTGCTCCAACTCCTTACAGCTTTTTGACCATAGGACCACGCTAAAGCCAGCCCAAATTAAAACCAAGGAAATCTATATTGTGTGATCATCAGGTCAGCAACAACTTTTTCACTACACAGATCTGTTCCCATTGCACTGCACTACTTATCAATATAGACATAAACTTAGTGCTCGATTCCATGGACTATAAGCCACGGAACACTGATGGTTTGCAATGTCATGCTAAATAGTCTGTTGCAGCACTCATCTGGCTCCATACTCAAAATATCCTATCCCCATGATGCTCCTCGCTGCTTCAAGACCAATGACCTGAAACATTAAATGTCTCCTCCAAAATAGAGGAAGCCCTGCACGCAGGTATATAGCCATCTGTATATTTATTTCATGACAGTGAAAAACATCTCAGGAACTGCTGCCTTAGATAACTAAAGCTGGGAAAAGTAAATAGAAAAATAGAGTAAAGCATGGTTTAACTCTTCTTCGTTTAGCATGTCAGGCTTAACAGGTCAGAATATTTGTAAAGGTCAAGAATTTGCTACTTATTAATGTCAAGACCAAATTATTGCCCTGGGAGCAATAAGATCTTCCTTGGACCATGAAGCCATTTGCCATCCCTTACTAAGAACTACCTGTTAAAATACAATCTGTCCCAGCGGAGTAATTTTCAATTTTGTTTGTGGTCGATTTCATTTTTACGTTATGAGCCCTGCAATGTTTGTGTTACAAATACAGAACTAGACTGTTTTCACTAAAAAAATCACTCTTTCTGTTGGAATGTCAGACAAAAACTTAAATAGACTTAACTTTGCATAACATTGATTGTTTGTTAAAGTTGTGTTGGGCACCATGTGAATTAACTCTGTCCTCTTAAAACCGAGAAAAATTACAAAGGGTAAATTTGGGCATTCATCTGGAACTCATCTACAGTCCGTTGAGGGGTTTTACTTTCTTTAATAATTAAAACCAGCTTCTGCTTTGAAAGGCTGACTCCTAGGGCTAGTAATTTCATGGGAGAGTTCAATGAACAGGGACAGACTCCAACAACAAACAGTCCAGTTAAAAGTCATTGGGACCTGAGCCAAAATAACTCTCTGATCAGACCAAAAATATCCATGTGTACTAATTAAACCTAAACTGCACACTTTTTCTAGGCAGCGAATTCATCAATGCCCTAATTATTTCTAAAACTGGAAGAGATCTCCGGTCACTTAGGAACGTGTTCCTAGCCCTTTCCCAAGCAACGCTGTCTTTGTGGTCTTGCAGGAATTCAGCTTCTGAGTCGAAAAGGTGACACTTCAAGCACCAGGATGTGCAGGATCCCTGTTTATTCTAAAACTGAGACGGTTCCTACCTAAAAACACAGCTGGGATGGTCCAGCTCAGTCTTCCTAAGCAGCTTCTGACCTTTGTCCAGTCAGGTTTCCAGCCACTGCTCTGTGTGCCCCTTTCTTGGAGCCGGAATAGCAGTATCTGATGCACCATACAGCCTTTTATTAACTTATGGGTGATCAGCTGTTTCACTATACCTTGGTGTAGTTTTGCAAGCTACTGTAACATCTTTTAAAAGTTTCACAAAAATACCTGCAAGGTCTTGGTGGAGCACAGAGAGAGGGACAAAACAAACCAAAAAACCCCCAAACTGTTCTGAAGTGTTTTTAAAGATCTTTAGTTTGCAAATGCTCACAGATTCTGAAAATGTGTCTATCAACGAATAGCTTTGATTTGCTCTGGAGACATGGGTTAATAATATAAAATATGTCTAAAGGGATTTTCAAAGATGATTGTGGATGCTAGAAACATGTTTTCTGTTTGTTTGTGCTAACATGCAACCATCTGCTGACCTGGGTGATACAAAATACCTCCTATATTATTTTGGGTTTTGACATAATTATTATTAATTGAGACAAACATATCTCAGTTTAATATGTCTTTCCAATCTAAGGATTCTGTACAGAACCTCACACAGCCTCTAGTGCTCTACAGCATAACATTTCTGCTATACTGTTTGGAGTTAACAAGGTCTGTCTGTCATAATTATACAGGAATCTAGCATCTGAGGTTTTGTAGCTAACTAGAGGAGCCTTTTGCACCTTTTCTGGGTCCTGTAAAATGTTATGTTGTTAAAGTATGCTAATTGTTCATTAATATAAGCTGAGATATGCAGTAAACCAGTTTGTGTTTACTGCATCCCTCTGCCTGTGTTTCCCTAAAGTACAGTTTGCACAAAAAATGTAGAAAAAAATGGGGGTTTCTAAAGTTAGGATTGAATTAAGTTCCAGATAAAAAACTAACTATATAGCATAGCTATTTACATCTACACTAAGTACCTAATCTCCCATTATGGTCAACTGAGATCTAGTCAATATAATCAAAGGACTCCAGAGAACAATTCACCTCACCCAGTCACCTGGGTTCATTTGCCTTAACACAGGTATCCACCATCATTGGACATTCCCTGGGGCATCCCACCTGGCCTCCAGCTGCCATCCAGAAGAGTGCAGGTTTCCCCTATTCCATATCCAACAGCCTCCATGTGCATGTCAAAGACACCTTTGTGGCACCTCAGTTGACATTAGATGCCTATTTTTAGGCAACTGAATTGAATCCTACATCTCTCCTGAGCATGATGGGAGATTAGATATCCAAATCAGACAGAGATTCTTATACACAGAGATGATAGCATAGGTGATGCAGTCCCCCAGACTGAATCCCACCTCTAGCTTACATGTAGACACTCTGGATACCTTACTTAATTTATTAGAACGTGGAGCCAAATTACAGCCTTACTGGCAGAATGTGCAGCCAGCAATTAACAAGTCGCTTACTGGAGTCTTGTACCTTGGTTTCCTGGATTGCGTCTTTCAAAGCTAATCCTTGAGATCTGTCAAGATAGGTCCTGAATAATTCTAAGACTATTTACTATATGCAATACCATAATATCCAGGAAATGTAGTCAGAGGTCAAGGTTTTATATCTGTGGAGATTGTACAAACACAAAACTCTGTCCCAAAGAGATGATTCTTCCTTTATTATTTGTACCAAAGCCAGCTTTGTTAGCCATTGTGTTACGTCTGCCTCATGCTGCTCAGAAGGTCTGCACACACTTAGATAACCCTTGTGAAACTGTAGCATACTTATGGCTTAACTTCACTCCAGTAAGCACCTACAAATTTGTCCCTAAGTACATTTTCTTTATGCATTACATTCATGTATTTAATTTACTTGTTATGTGTAAATCTCTTTAATGACTGGTTTTGTTTACTTTAAAATGTTTCTTCATGGCTATTATTTCAATTGTCGTAATACTGACCTAGAAAACTGTAGACTATCCTAAAACAGCATACCAAATCAGACTAATGAAGAAAACTTATCATCAATGCAAAGGAAAAAATATATCAATAAAAATCTTTAAAGATATTGCAATAACAAGATTTAAATAACATACAGATCAGGCCTAATAAGAAGAATACTTTCATGTTAAGTCAGTAGTGAGCATATATCAATGAAAGATATCACTTTGAACACTGCAAAACAGAAAAGTCATCAAAATACACATACTGAATTGGCTTTCTATTAAAAAGACAAGTAAAGACTTAATGTTGCCATGAATGGAAGTTGCATGCAAATTCTGTAATGCTACCATGACTCGCATGTAACACTATGAGCATGCGAGGGATGATTCAAATATTTCTCACATTTAGCAGAGGGTGTAGGGCAAAACTCCTTTCTCAATTTAACATCAAAATATTTCTTCAGCCTTGAAGTACTGTGCAATACAAGTGTGTGACTCTGCCTTCTTTTACCTTTGGGATTTGTGTGCATAACACCATCCCAGTCTTTAAAGAGTTAATTCTCACAACACTCCTCTGCACTATGGCAGAGGTATTAGTCCCATTTTACAGACGCTGAACAAGGGTATAGAGCTCTCCCAAGGGACAGATGTGTGGCTCATTAAGTCACTGAGAACCAATCATCCTGAGGAAATTCTGCATTTGGCAAATCCTGCCAAATTCCAGCTGCCCTATGTAATGTAAAAACTGGTTTTAGTTGCATTATAGCATGCAGAAAATGTGTGATGGAACAGAGAACTGAACCCACATTCTCACATTCTAGCTAGCACATAAAATACATACTTACCAAAGAAAGTAAGAGGCTGTAGCCCCTTCCTCTAGGCTCATCTCACATACATAACATGGTATTAGTGTAGACATGTGGCTCCATAAATCCCCCATTTTGGTACCTGCCCAGATGATTCCATTCTTCTCATTCTCTGATCAA